TGGACTTCCAGCATGCGTGCGTGAGCGCGTTAGATAGGAGTGAATGGAGACGAATGGTACTTGGGACCTGACGATCTGTTGGAGTGTGAGCAGGGTAATATTTAGTGAAGGGATTCAGGGAAACCGGTTATTTTCATATAGTCGGGCTTGAGTCCTGGAAATGGGAAGTACAATGCCTGCACTTCAAAGGAGGGGTTTTGGGATATTGGCAGTTTGGAGGGATATGTTGTGTATCTTTATACATATATGCTTCTATACTGTTGTATTCTGAGCACCTCTGCAAAAACAGTGATTATGTGTGAGTGTGTTGAAAGTGTTGAATGATAATGAAAGCATTTTCTTTTTGGGGATTTTCTTTCTTTTTTGGGTCACCCTGCCTCGGTGGGAGATGGCCAACTTGTTGAAAAAAAAAAATATATATATATGTGTATGTATATGCACCTACCATCCGACTTATGACCTGCTTGACTTACGACCACTCGACTTACGACCGTGTTTTTTTATGCCAAATTTCTGGGAAATAAACAACTATTTGTGTTGTACACAGTGTTTATCCTAAACCTTACAGTATAAAATACAGTACTAACAACATAAGTAAAGTAAAACATGAAATGCCAAAATAAAACAATAAAATAAAGTCATTTCATAAAGTTATGTTGATATTCAGTAGTAAAGTTCGACTTACGACCATTTCGACTTACGACCGGTTTCTCGGAACCGAACTCGGTTGTAAGTCGGATGGTAGGTGTATATGTATATATATACATAGGAGTCGTCCTCGAAAAGGTTGGAAGGAAGGGGTAAGGGAGGTTTTATGGGTGAGGGGCTTGGACTTCCAAGGAGTGAATGGAGACGAATGGTATTTGGGACCTGACGATCTGTTGGAGTGTGAGCAGGGTAATATTTAGTGAAGGGATTCAGGGAAACCGGTTATTTTTATATAGCTGGACTTGAGTCCTGGAAATGGGAAGTACAATGCCTGCACTCTAAAGGAAGGGTTCAGGATATTAGCAGTTTGGAGGGATATGTTGTGTATCTTTATACGTATATGCTTCTAAACTGTTGTGTTCTGAGCATCTCTGCAAAAACAGTGATTATGTGTGAGTGAGGTGAAAGTGTTGAATGATGATGAAAGTATTTTCTTTTTTGGGGATTTTCTTTCTTTTTGGGTCACCCTGCCTCGGTGGGGGACGGCCGACTTGTTAAAAAAAAAAAAAAATAAAAAATACCACAGTGAAAATAGTTAAAAAAAAGCTGAGTGCTTTTCATGTGCTTACACACACATCTTTTGAAGTTGTGTAAGCACATTAAAGTATTCAGATTTATTTCCTATTTTCACTGTGGTATTTTTCTCATAAAGGTTTCGAATTTTTTATAGGAATGTGTTGACACTAGTTAATGTCCTGATCATTGTTGAATTGTCTCAGCAGATCAGTGTTACCAATTGCCATGGTATAGTTATTTACTGAGGCCGCGTCACTGAGCATGAGTGAGATTTATTAGTCCCAAGTATTAATTTTGTTGGTTTCTTGAAGGTGGGGTAATGATCAATTGTATTTTTGAGCTTTATTACCTGCTTTTACAGGAGCTATTACATTTGTGGAGATGTGATCACATGAAGATACAGTTGTATCAGTAATTATTGTAGGTTAGGTTATTGGTGGCCTTAAAAAAGCAGTCATACATGTTTAGGAAACCAGCTACTTGTGTGTTTTGTAATTGTACAAGATTGATATTAACATCTCCATGTTTATTTAGTTGTTTATGTTTAGATCTTTAAGCTTATCACCAGAGTTGGCTACATGATCTGTAGACACCTTCTGTTGTATTCCTTCCTCATGTCTTTTAAATATCTGCAGTGTGAGCCATTTTTCATATCTGTTGGCAGTTTATCCTTTCAAAGTATAAAGTGCCAAGAATTTATCTTGATCTAGGGAAGTGGTGCTACCCTATTTTTCCTTAGATCAAGCCTGTTACTCCTTGCTCCCAATTCACAGGTGTTGTATGATTCTTACAGTTTAATGCTTTCCCTTGAATAAATAGCTATCTTTTACAGTATTTTAAAGATCTTTCACAGCACACACAAGTACGATAAAGCACCTAAATTGCTGAGAACGGTTGAAGTCCCTTGATTTGTATTCCCTGGAATGCAGGCAAGAAAGATACATGTTAATATACACTTGGAAAATCCTAGAGGAATTAGTACCAAACTTGTTTATGAAAATCACTCCCTATGAAAGCAAAAGACTTGGCAGGAGATGCAACATTCCCCAGTGAAAAGCAGGGGTGCCGTGAGTACACTAAGAGACAACACAGTAAGTGTTAGGGACCCAAGACTGTTCAGCTGCCTCTCAACATACATAAGGGAGATTACCAGTAGACCCCTGGCTGTCTTCAAGAGGTGCTGGACAGGCACCTAAAGTCAGTACCTGACCAGCCGGGCTGTGGTTTGTACATCAGTTTGTATGTGACCAGCAGTAACAGCCTGGTTGATCAGACCCTGATCTACCACGAGGCCTGGTCTCAGATCAGGTTGTGGGGGCATTGACCCCCAAAACCCCCTCCAGGTATATTCCAGGTCTTGTAGTGAAATCTCAAAAATTTTCCGTGGAGGATAATATAGTTTGCCCACACTCTCAGATTCCATGGTACTACCTGGAGGGTAATCTGGGGATCAACACCCCCGCGGCCCGGTCCACAACCGGGCCTCCTGGTGGATCAGGGCCTGTTACTGCTGGCTGCACGTAGTCTAATGTACGAACCACTGCCCGGCTGATCCGGCACCGACTCTAAGTATCTGTCAGCTCCCTCTTGAAGGTAGCCAGGGGCCTATTGGTAATTCCCCTTATGCTTAATGGGAGGCTGTTGAACAGTCTTGGGCCCTGGATACTTATGGTGTTTTTACTTTTCACTGGGGGTATTTTGCATCGCCTGCCCAGTGTTTTACTTTTGTAGGGAGTGATTTCTGTGTGCAGAAAGTGGCAGTAGTGGCTTCTTGACTTTGTCTTTGGCCTTTACAATATCTTCCATATCAGTTGGTGGTTGGGATTTAATTCTGTAATGTTTAAGGAGACATCTAATTTCAACATGGTATACTTTGTAATTAAATATTTAGTATCTCACATTTCCTTGTCTTATTTTCTTTATTTTGTCTTCATTGCCAGTTCTTTGTATTATGCCTTTAACACTTAGTTTACCTTTTGCAAATTTAAAAACAATTAGTTCTGCCTTGTACTTGTCCAATAATAATAATAATAATCATTGCTTAGTTAATCTTAAGTTAATTTTAAGCCAGCCCGTAATGCTATGCATAGTATAAGTGGCTTTGGCATACTGCTCTTATCTGTATTTTTTTTGTACCTCTGTATGTGTGCACAAATTGGAAATAAATAAATAAATAAATAAATAAATAAATAAATAAATAATCCCACTTGAAAGTTTCATTGAATATGTGAATGTGAAAGTGTTGTTGTAGTGCCTGCTGTATTTAAAAAAGAATGTATAAAATATCAAGTTGATGTGAAATTGTGACAACAGCTAACAAGTAGTGATCTAAAGACTTTGGAAAACTAAACTGTTATTATTAGAGAGACACATTGTTTGATTCACATATAGTGAACCTTCTCAAGGGAATCCAGGAAATCAAGGATATGCTTCTACATTTGAGGTATTGTGCAGTAGAAAGTAATGCACCACCATGGCCAGAATTCATGTTACTGAATGAATCAATTCCTTAATGTTTTGTCTGTTTGCCGGAATGTGTAGATAATGTCTACAGTATTTGCAAGTTAGGCTCAGAGCCCCATAACAAAGTATGATATCCTAAGCTTCCAGTCTCCTCCATGTGTGTGTTTTCTCCATTGTTTCAGTTTGGTATCTCTTCTTTTCTGCCACTTAGTGCCTGGTGTCAGGTTGGTTAATTTTTTTTTTTCATTATGAATTGGATAACTTCACATAGTCTAAATTCGTTTCCTCACTTCACTAAGGTCTCTTATTAAATGGAGGGAAGGGAAAAGTTGGATGTCTCTTAATCTGTTGATGTTATTTATGAATTTCACTTATTCAAATTGAGTGTACTTTCTTGCAAAGATATGTAATGCTGATGTTGGGTAATGAATAGGTGTTTGTGGCACCCCTCTTCTCTCTCTCTGTTTACTTTTTAACATAATAGTTTTGGAGTATTCTGAAGAGAAGTTGCAGAGGTTGGTGACTGAGTTTGGAAGGGTATGTAAAAGAAGGAAATTAAAAGTGAATGTAGGAAAGAGTAAGGTAACGAGGATAAAAAAAAATTAGAAAATGAAAGATTGGATATCAGATTGGAGGGAGGGAATATGGAAAAAGTGAATGTGTTCAGATATTTGAGAGTGGATTGTCAGCAGATGGGTCTGTGAAAGATGAGGTGAATCATAGTGTTGATGAAGGGAAAAAGGTGAGTGGTGCACTGGGGAATCTATGGAGACAAAGAGCGTGTGGAGTGAATTTAATGCAGAGGATCCATAGTTTGGAAATTAGGTGTGTGGTTACTAAAAGTATTATGCAGAGGGCTGAGGAAGGATTGTTGAGGTGGTTTGGACATTTAGAGAAGAAAGAAGAAAATAGAATGACTTGGAGGGCATATAAATGGAAGTCGGTAAAGGAGATATCATTTGTGAGGGACTTGGACTTCTAGTAGGTGTACATGAGCGTGTTAGATAGAAGCGAGTTGAGACAAATGCTGTTGGAGTCTGCGCAGGGTAATATTTATGAAGGGATTCAGGGAAACTGGCAAGCCAGACTTGAGTCCTGGAAGTGGGAAGTACAGTGTCTGTGCTCTGGAGGAGGGGTGTTGATGTTGCAGTTTTTAACTGTAGTGTAGGTGCACCTCTGGCAAGACAGTGACGGAGTGAATGATGATGAAGGTGTTTCTTATTTTTTGGGTCACCCTGCCTTGGTGGAAAACAGCTGATGTGTTAATAAAATAGTAAAGTTTTTTCTAGTGGACTTTTTGTTTTTCATTTCAGGTGGATGACACCCTGAAGATGCTTTCAAACTACTTTGTGAATCAGCGTCTTGAGTTTGGCTTGTATGGGTTGTATCCTAAATACCAGCTACACATCCACCCTATTGCTGTCTTTCTCAGTCTCATCTCTCACACATACATTGTCACTACCTTCCACACTAGCTGGGGAACTTCTCAAGAAGAAAGTAAGTTCATGTATCACATGTATGTAGTGCTTAATACTTTAATAAATCAATACAATTTTTTTTTTTCATTAATGTAGTTTCAATATGCTAAATGGTGCATCATTTCAAAGAAGGTGCTTTGATGCTGGTGAAGGGCAATTAATTCAAGGTATTGGAATGTTCCCTCTTCCTTGAATTAAACCTAATTTTCTGTTTTTTTTACATGCTGTAAAATGCCCATAGGTTTAGCACTTCTCCATGAATATAATAATTAAAATACAGTGGTACCCTGAGTTTCGAACTGTTCCCATCTCAAACAGTTATGTAAATATTTGTGTAAATGCATTTGTAAGCGTATTTTTGGGGGTCTGAAATGGACTAATCTAATTTACATTATTCCTTATGGGAATAAATTTGTTCAGTATTGGCACTCGAACAGCATTCTGGAATGAAATAAGTTCAAAACTCGGGGTACCACTGTACGTATATGATGTGCATACCATTACTTATATAGCTTGCTACATATTCTCGAGTATTGGTCAATGTTCTGTGGCCAGTTTTTTTTTTTTTGTTTGTTTGTTTTTGCAAAGAATAAGGTTAACTTGTTCATGGGCAATATTTCTTATGGGTTTAAATCTATAATCCCTATACTGAAGAACACAAGAACAGAGTAACATTGCAGTATGGCTACTGACCAAGCTTGGGAGTTCCAGCCAATAGTCACATCGTACTTATTTTTAACCCTTTCAGGGTTTCGGCCATACTAGTACTGCTTACACACCAGGGTTTTTGACGTACTAGTATGCCTAAATTCTAGCTCCCTCAAATCCAGTGAGAGAAAGCTGGTAGGCCTACATATGAAAGAATGGGTCTATGTGGTCAGTGTGCACAGTATAAAAAAAATCCTGCAGCACACAGTGCGTAATGAGGAAAAAAAACTTTGTGTTTTTGGATTAAAACAGCGACTTTGCACTATATTTTCGTATGGTATTTATTGTTGTATTCTAGTTTTTCTGGTCTCATTCTATAGAATGGAAGACATATTACAGAAATTGAGATGATTTTGACTCATTTTACAATGAAAAGTACCTTGAAATTGAGCTCAAAGTAGTAGAAATGTTTGATTTTTACCAAAGTTCAAAAGTAAACAAATCATGCTATGCATCCAATACATGTCAACTGGTGAGTCTAATATTCTTTCACAAGTGCACCGATATTATTTATACCATTTTTTACACTAATGCAGTAGTCTGCATAACAGTAAATCTTCTATTTTTTGTGAGAATAAAAATTCAAAGTGGAAAGCAAAAGAATGTAAGAGGGGCATTGGGATGTGACTAATGAACAGAGGAATGTCATTTTAGTGCCAGGAATGTCTTTCTTGTTTATTCTGGACCCTATTTGGAAATTGGCATCTTTTGAAATTTGTGTGAAATTGGTAAAATTGCTAAATTCTGATCACTGTATTGGATAGTTGAAATCGGTAAATGGGTGGTTTCTTGCACTCATTCAATAGAAAAAATGGAATTCTAGTGAAATATTCATGATTTTTGTCGACTAGTACAGTGGAATTGGCCGAAAATAGGGCTCAAAGTGGGCAAAATCGCTGATGCATAAACATCGTCGAGACCGCTAACTTCGCGAGAGCATAATTCTGTAAGTTTCCATCAAATTTCATACTTTTGGTGTCATTATGATTGGGAAAAGATTCTCTATCTTTTCACAAGAAAAAATAACTTTTTTTTTTTTTTTTTTTTTTTTTTTTTTTTGAAATTTGGGCGACCCTGAGAACAAGTCTCTGAGAGGGCCTGTCGACCCTGAAAGGGTTAACCGTCAAACTGATATTTTAATTCCTGTATGAAAACAAAAAAAAACTATGTAATAGAAAAGCTCTACAGTATACATATTGGCACATGATTAAAAAGACAATAGGACAGAATAAAAAGCTTTATTAAGAAAACATTTGCATGGAGACCAAGCTTTTTCAAGTCTATAGACACTTCAGGGTAAGCATAGCTACATATAACCAGGAGAGCAGGTGATAAGGAAGAGTGAGTTGATAACCTGACTTGTCATATTAGAAGTGTGTGGTTAAGAGTATGTGAGGCAGAGGTTCTGTTAACTGGGAACATTGGTTCTGGGTGATGGTGTGTGTGGTCTGAATGAGAGCCAATTCAAGGAATTTTTTTCTGCTCCTTGTTTGGATGACCTTGCTCACCCTGTGCCAACCCATGTAGTGTTAGGCCATAAGAACATAAGAACATAAGAAAGAAGGAACACTGCAACAGGCCTACTGACCCATGCAGAGCAGGTCCATGTCCTCCCATCCCCCCTGGATTAGACCACGTTGCAATGTTAAACACAGGCATTGATGAAGTTGGTGCAGTTGACATGTTTGTGTTCATATACGTTCATAGACAAATCCCTAGCTGTCTCACCTACATATACTCTAACTATTATAGAGAATGATGTAAATGCTAGCACTTTAAACACAGCCACTGGCCCAGTGGCTAACACATTGGTCTGGAGTTTTACGACTCACCGCGAGTTCAATTCCCGCCCATACCGTGGTTTGTTTGCAGTCGTGTCATTACGATTTCTTGAGCCAGCACTTTCTTCAGGTTTGAAGTTAACCCTCTTAGGTCTAGTAATGTTTTTGATAGTGATGCCCATAGCGATGATGTAACTGACTTTCTTGAGCACTCTGTAAGTGTTCTCAAGTACTGTGGAATTAAGGAAGAGTAAAAAGTGATTACTGTTGGTATAGACTCGGAGTGTTAATATCTTCTGCGAATACCTTCTCAAGTTCTGTATGAAGGTGACAAGAAAATGTAAACTATGGAAAGATCACTGATTTTAAAACACTTGTCCTCCAAGATTCTGTGAGCCCTTAAGAGGAAACCCCTAGGGCAGTGATTCTCAACCAGGGGTAAGTTTATCACTTGGGGGTAAAAAATTATATGGCAAGGGGTAAATATTTGATGTATCTCATAACTGAATAATAATTCAATTACATTTCTTTAGAAAAGAGTGTTTTATTTTTTATATTTGGTGATACGAATGTATATTGCTATTTTTATGCAAAACCTGAATAATTTATTTTTTCTGACCTTGTTTTTCAGTTCCTTTATGATGGCGATAATTTTTTTTTATGGAAGTAAGGGGTAAATGGAGAAATACATCAAGCTGAGGGGGTTAATGCTGGAGGAAAAGTTGAGAATCCCTACCCTAGGGTCTAGTGGAGTGTTGAGACGAGAAACTAGAACATAAGAATAGAGGAGCACTGCAATAGGCTTGTTGGCCCATGCTTGTCAGGTTCTTGTTAGATGCAACCCTTCTTATTCAGCTATTTGTTTAACCTATTTTTAAAGCTGCCTCCCAAGGAGTTGGCTTTCATGACTCTACTTGGCAGATTGTTCTGCAAACCTACAACTCCATTGCTAAATCAGTTCTTTCCTGTATCATTTCTATAACTGAATTTATCTAACTTGAAACCATTGTTTTAACCCTTTCAGGGTCCATCCCGTAGATCTACGGCTTTACGGTGAGTGTCCAAACCGTAGATCTACGCCATGAGCTCAGCTCACTCTGATAAACTGTGAGTGGTACATTTGGGCCTAGATATGAGAGAATACATCTATGTGGTATGTGTGCACCACATAAAACAGATCCTGCAGCACACTGTGTATAATGAGAGAAAAAAACTGAAATCATGATTTTTCGATTAAAACAGCAACTTTGCAGTGTTTTTTCGTATGTTTTTTATAGTTGTATTTGTGATTTCTTGGTCTCATTTGATAGAATGGAAGACATATTACAGAAATAGAGATGATTTTGATTGGTTTTAGCACTGGAAATGGCTTGAAACTGAGCTCAAAGTAGCGGAAATGTTAAATTTTTGCCGATATTCAAGAGTAAACAAACGACCTCACACATCTAATACACGTCAGCTGGTGGGTCTAATATACATTCACAAATATGGTGATGATATTTATACAATTATTACAGTATTGCATAACAGTAAATCTTCTATTTTTTGGTGTGAATAAAAATTCATTATGTGAATAAAAAATCAAAATGGAATTTATTTGTAAAGCCTCAAAACATAACTAATGAACAGAGGAAATGTTAGTTTAGTGCCAGGAATGCCTACATTGTTTATTCTGGACCCTATTTTGAAATTGGAATATTTTGAACTTTGTGTTAAATTGGCCAAATTAACAATTTCCGATCACTTTATTTTGTAGTTGAAACAGTTCACTTGGCGATTTCTTGTGCTCAATCGATAGAATAGAAGTAATACTAGTGAAATAGCTAAGAATTTGGTTGATTGGAATAATGTAATTGGCCTAAAATGGGAGTCAAAGTCGGCAAAATCGCCGATTCGTAAATATCGCTGACACATCAAAATTCGCGAGAGCATAATTTCGTCAATTTTCCACCAAATTTCGTACTTTTTGTTTTATTACCTTCACAAAAAGATTCTCTACGATTTCATAAGAAAAAATAACAAATTTTTATTTTGAAAATTCTTGGACACTGGTGCGTGACTCCAGATTTGGGCCTTGGACCCTGAAAGGGTTAGATATCCTCACCAACCTATCCTCACCAACCTATTTATATATCCTTTACACTTGTTTTCTACTTTTAAACCTTAATTGTATCATTCCTCATTCAAGAGAATGTGGGTTTAGGGATCTTAGCCTATCTGTTTAGGGATCTTAGCCTATCTTCACAGGAAAGGTTTGTTATTCAGTGGACTAACTCTATCATCCTTCCTCTGTATATTTTTCACTACATTTCCTGTTTATCATTTCTGTAGCACGAAGACCAGAGATGTGGTGCATAATCTGTATGAGGCCCAGTTGTAAATAATTAATATTTTTTTTTATTAACACATCGGCTGTTTCCCACTGAGGCAGGGTGACCTGAAAAAGAAGAAACACTCTCATCTTCACTCACTCAATCACTGTCTTGGCAGAGGCATACATTTGTTCCAAAATTAGGCATCATTTGTTTTA